TTTTCTCCGAGGCACCGTTAACGAGTTATTAACGAAAAACAGTGACCAATGAGAGGCGAGTTCAGCTGGCGCGAGGCGACCGAGCCAATGAGCGGAACTGGGCTTCGTGCGCTGGTTGGCTGGGCCGCCTCGCGTCAGCCGTACTCGATTCTTATTGGTCACTGTTTTTCGTTAATAACTCGTTAATGGTGGCTCGGAGAAAATTTTTGTAAAGGAAGAAGTTGCTTCAAATGATCCGAGGAACCCGCCATTTCCGGATTGCGAGACATTTTTGGGTCACCCTGTAGACTGTTGTAAATCGATGCGAAGACAAAAGAAGTGTGAAACAATGCATATGAAGACGATTATTTGATTCAAACGATGAGCGAGTGAGCTACTAGAGCAAGCCACTATAGTGGCGCGTCGTCCAGAGAGATGACATCCGCGAAAGCCACTATAGTGGCGTGTTGTTCTGAAAGATGACATCCGCGAAAGCCACTATAGTGGCGCGTCGTGCCTAAAAGGTTAAAATATATCGATGGTTCTTTAGGATCTCAATTTGATCGGAGGGGCACGCGCGCAAACCGGGAGCAAACAGTAGTACGAGCGAACATTCGGGCGGATTGAATGCTCGATCCTCCAGAAGTTCATCAAACGCTTGGCCATTGCTTAAGCTGCGGTCCGCAGTGACAATTCTCTGGTGAAAAGCGTTCCGTTGGCAGCACGCCAGCGCTCCGCCGAGTTACGATTCTATCTAAAATGGCTATTAAGTCTCGAGCTTGTATACTGACGGATCTGCCATCGATGCAAGGGTGTTTCTATACAGAGGATAGCCGAGAGATCAAGACTCGGGTGGGAGAGGAGGAAGCGAGGCGGCGGAGAGAGGCGGACTGCGGCGCAAGAATGCTGATATCAAATTTACCAAGTGCAGCGAGATGACACGCCTCGATATCGGGACACGACTGGCGGGTGTCTAGCAGGGACCGAGCCGGGTCAGGTCGGGTCAGATCTCGGGTCGCTCAAGCAAGCCAACAGGCCGTTGGCCCCCTTTTCATTTTCGACAACGTTCGGCCACGGAAACTGCGGCTTCGGGGCGGGACGCGGGACTCGGAACCGAAGGCTCGAGAAAATAAGTCGAGTCCAAGGTGTTCCAATGTTTCCGGCACGATCCGGTGATAATCAGTTTCTGCGATCGGTTTCTAATCGGTTTGTATCCCTCGTTCACGAGAGATACGAGTTTAGCCCTTTGCGGTCGAATTTTGTAAAGTACTAATATTTTCGACAGGGATTGTGTATTAAAGATTTAAATAATGAAGAACATGTGTAGACACCCTGATGTCTCGTTGCAGAGACTGTTTACAGTTTGATACGAAAACGACGTTATCGTCTTACTAACATTAACATTATGATATCAATTATATAATTTTATAGATACATTGATAGAAAAAAAAGAGAAGGCTTTATCTGTTATTTTGTGGTACAATCGCAATGATTTATTGTAAGCACAATTAGATTTTCTTATATATGACGCCGGCGTTGACGGGTTAATATTCGGACACTCTATCAAAGAGAATAATTGTTTTCCAAATTCTACCAAATGACTTGAATTATTTTTAGACGTTAGAACTAAGTTACTAGACTAATATCTAAAACAATATTTGCAAAACTGGTAATTGGATGAAATGAAAAAAAAAGTAAAAATAAAAAAACGCCACATTTTTCAAGTCTCGTCTGAGCTTACAAAAAAATAAAAGTTAACAGATCGCAAGAACCGCGTGCTTTCAGATAGCAACTAGTTGCCGCGTCCAATCACGACCGTCTGTTCTACTTCGCGCGTACACCAACGCCCCTGGGCTTGAAGAAGAACAAATTTCATTTCGTTCCCGAATGAACCGCGAACGTCAAAGTCACCCTGTACAACGGTGCTGTGAGCAAACGAGGCGGAGGAAGCATCGCAAAACTTCAGAAAAGAAATGACTTTTGATTCGACATGGAATAATACAATGGAACACCCACTTCGAGGGAGTCTCGGAGTACAACGCAGGCGCGAAATGCGGGGGGAAATGGGGGGGATGAAAGAAGCACGAGATCCCCGCCGAAGGAAATCGTTTCGGGCTGTTTCGAAGCGCGTAATTTCCGCTCCCGGGGCCGTTGACGAAGATAAAACAGAGGTCGGGGAAGCTTGTGGAGCCTTGTCGGGTTCGCTCTTAGCAGGCTAAGACTCACCCTCGCTGGAGTCAACCTCGAGGATCTCCGGCCACCTCGCCTCCTCTCTGTCGGATTCGTTCCTGTAACGTCGCCGCGAGAACCTCGTGATCGAAGGACACGGGCCGGATCCCTTTGCTAGAACCAACCGACCTTGAAGACGCATCCAGCACGATCGGCCGACCCCGGGGATCGCCCCTCCCACCGCCCCATGGGGGATTAAAGTTCGCGTGTGGTTTAATTGCATCGCATTTCGACGGGGACCCGTTACGGCGGGTACCGTTCCGTCGCGTCGGCGACGTCGCGACGCGTTCTGTCGTTCGTCATTCGAAATTGGTACTAGCGTTTCGTTATTTCGCCTCCCCCTTGATCCGCACGCGAGCCAGCAATCTCATCGCTGAAAACTGCATCGATTCCCCTCGCAATTACATTGCAATTATTTTTCCCATTCGAGCGAAACACGGTCGCCGGGCTCCGCGGTTTCCGAATTCCCTCTGTCCGCCAATTTCACTCGACGGATTTTTTACGGAACAGTGTTCCTCTCCTCGGGGCAACTCCGGGATCTCATTCCCGGCCGTGGAACGCAAAGTTTAACGAATCTTCCCGCGGCGCGACCATTGTTTGAGCCAGTCAATCTCCTTTCGCGCCCCCCAGATACGGTCCACTTAAATATTTGAACGTCCCAGTTCTCGCTGGGAGTTTCTCTGAACGCATGGAATTTGCTCGAACTTTAATAAAACCGGGGATCGCGGTTGATTCGCAGCTGCCGGCGAGCAACGACCATCATCCGGCCGGAGCATGTGGCGTCGGCAAAAACCTCGAAAAATGAGATGCCGCGGGGGCATAGCAGCCCACGTTCGGTTTCCCTTCCGACGACGACGACGACGACTGCTGCGAATCGTTTTTCGCTGAGGGAAACAGGCGCCGCGCGCGAGTCTCGTCGCGACGACGAGCGTCTTCGGTTTTATAAATTCTCAGCGATCGAGCTCGGGCTCGGCGAATTGGCGGAACTCTCGCGTTTAAACGATCTCTCTCCGGGTGACGTTGGTTCGCAACCAGTTTCGCGCCGCTAACTAACCAAGCTTTTTACGTAATTCAACTACTTGCGCAGCGGAACGGAAATCTGCGTAATGGGATACGAACGCGTGCGACCGTCTCGCCGCGGCGTTTTCGTTGATCGCGCGAATTAATTCGACCTATCTCGCGTTCATTGAAACCCGGTGGCGTCTTGTTCTAGCCGGAAGACCGGTTAATTAGAACCGGTCTAGCGCGCCGGTTCGGTCCACGAATCGTCGGCGACGATCTCCGAGAAAACCAGCGCCGCCCTCCCTTCGTTCGTTCCACGGCCGTTTCCTGGGATCGGCCATCAATATTCATACCAGCGAATTAGTTTTTGTTATCGCATTTGCATGTCCGATCGCGTTTCACGTTTCTCGACGGCGACCGACGCCTTTCGAGGAGCGCCGTTTTCCGGCCAGCTGGCACTGCGCGGCGTTCAAGGCTGAAGGAACTAGATAAAAATCGATGGACGAACGTTCTCCATAGAACAAGACGCCTCTCTCATCCATGCTTCAACCTCGTTCCACCATCCGCCACCGTTCCTCCCTCCATGGATCGCAGGAGCAACCCACGAAGCAGGACTTTCAGGCGTAATTTCATTTCCGCGCCGGCTCTCGTCGCCGCGATCCGACGAGCTCTCCTTCCTCGAGGATCGACCCCGAGCGGGAGAGGATCGTTTCATCCCGGCAGAGGTCACGCCCGATGACCTTCGTCGTCCTCGACCTCGAACCATCCGGGAACTAAACGGATCTCAATTTCTTGCGCGGCACGATGTTTTCCCCGTTTTCTGCTCGCCCGATCGATCGCGCCGTTTCGCGCTTCGACGTAACCGCGATTTGTTTACCCCGCGGTCCGACGGTTCGTAAATCATGGACCACGGCGGATTTAACGCGCTGCTCGTATTGCGTAACAATCGCGCGGGGGAAACAGATTTTTCTAAACGGTTTTTCCGCCAAGATTCACCGGAGAGTGAATGGAACGCGGCGACCGGTCGAGCGGGATTTCAGATTTCTTGTTTTCGAATCATTGAGACGGCAAAGGTTTCTTTGCGGTGACAGGCTCGACGAACATAATCGCTCGAGCGTCACGATAAAAATCTTTTCGATATAGTGTCTCCGGCGACAATACTTTATTTTGCAACGTCGCCGCGCTGCTTCGTCGCCGCTCGGCGACCGGTTCCCGTTCGAAAGAAAATGGGCTGGTTTTATCGGACGATTAACGGAACCGTCGTCGGAACCTTTGAATGGGACGCCCGCGATGTAACAGTATGCACACGCGACGATAAATCACTCGGAATCGCGGAATCCGAGGCAGATTTTCACGGCTACGAATGCCACAATAAAACTGGAGCGGAGCCAAAGCGCGGGGGGTCGCGCGTACACCGACGACGATAGAGCAACAATTAGGTGGATCGGCTTATTAATAACCGAATGCCCCGGTATAACGAACTTGTCGGGCCTGTGTACGTCGCTACGGACGACCTACATTAACAGATTAACGTCGCGGCACCGCGAACGACCGGTCAAAGATATTTCACGCACACGGTGGCCTGCAAATACGAATCGGCCAGCCATTTTTACAACCCCGAACAATGCAACTTCACGCCAGAAAACAATAGAGAAGTTAGGTATCGAGATTTTAGGATAGAGAACAAACTGTTTTACTCGCAGGATAGTGGAGCACAGGTCGCCGTTGGGTTTTTTTCCGGGCATAATTGATTACATATTTATCGAATAACGCATTTTACAGTATTTCATTTCACATTGTTTGACGTTATTTTCATTTGATATTATTTCGTTTCACGTATTACATGTTTTCATCCCTTTATTCTGTTTATTTTTTAATTGAATAGTTTAACCCTTTGAGGGCGAATGTTGACAGATCGACGAATTTAATTATGTACGTAACAGAAAATCAGAAAATATTGTCTGTTTTCTCGTATCATTGAAATCTTTGATACATAATCTAGTTCTCTGAAGGAAATATTCTTAGTATTTTAAGTATGCTCGCAAAGGATTAATATGTCCGATTCTTACATATGATCGATGTTTAATCTTTTATTTTGTTATTTTAGAATACAAAAATTTAATATCTTACTTTTACATATGTCCGATTTTTATTCTTATATTTTGTATATTTTTGAATAAAAAGATTAAGTACGTTTTATTCGATAAACATGAAGTTAATTGTGCCCGAAAACGAAGCGAAGGAACAGTAACCGGCTCCACTACCCTGCAAGACTTCGTTTCCACGACAATTGTGCAAGTTGCTTCGATTCGAACGTGACTACACTTTAAAAGGCCAAGATACGGCGACGAAAAAATTGTTAGCGGAAGAAATTGTATCTTCGCGATCAATCCCACCCCGTGTAGATATTGACTTAGGGCGCAGGATTAGGCTAAGCCTGCCGTCTCGCGGCACGGGTGCGTTTGCTCGCGGTTGTCGTCCCGATAAAAGTGGATGTTCGACGACTCGCACCCTCGCGCCCACTTCGCGAAGCCAGAATGGGGATTCGGTGGCAGGAAGCCTGAACTGTATCAGCGTTTCAAGGCCGCGGATTAGAGCCGACCGATACCTTTACGTAAGCACAGCAACGTACCGGCAGCCGTGTTCGTTGCTGGTCGTGCCTGCGATAATCGCCGATAATGGCGACGGGAATTAAGAGGCAATAAAGATGCACGAGGGTGCTTAACGGCTCATGAAAATTTGTCGGTTCGCTGTAAAACGTCGCGAACGCGAACGCTCGTTTCCGACTACAATAGAATCGCTCTTCTTTCTTTAAGACCATACAAAGGCTATTTTCAGCTTCGGTTGCGTCACAACGCGTACCTGCACCGCGTCGTGTCCCCTTCGTTGTACATCATCATCCCCCTTTTCACCCCCTGCGTGGGCAGCCATCCGTCGCGTTTCTTTTAATAATTTTCCAGATTTTTCTAAATACGTCGCGAAGCGTAGTCCGAAATAAACATTTACGCAAAACTCCATACATACTACGCTTCGCTCCCACGGTTTTGCTTGCCAACAAAGAGCCAGACGAAGCCGTTGTTGCACCTCCCAGCTCGCAAAATCATCATCGCCTCGCGTTTACGTTATCGCGTAACTTTCGGCGTTCGCGCTCTAGTAGTATTTTACGCGTTCTCGCCTAGTTTATTTTCGTGTTGCTCTTCTCGCGCTGCTAGAGACATTGCGGTCCTGTAATTTCGAAACGAGCAACCGAGATTCAGGTTCGCGTTTATTCGCGGACCGTTCGCAACCGGCGCGCGGCGATCGGCCGAATTCCTCCCGCGAGCGAACGATTTGCGGCGGAATCGTTCGAGATTTCGACGACCGACGAAACTTAGGGAAAACCGTTTGGCAGGAGGCGCGTAGTCGCGAACGTTCTCGAACGGAGAGTGAGAGGACGACGTCGAAAAGCGACGACGCGTCTTTTTAACGGAGAGGAAGACCACCGGCTGCCGAGCGGACGCGGCTCCCCGAAACGCGACTCTGATCCCAATTTCGCGTTACATAATCCCCGGTGCCGTGTATTATTATCCATGGTTTGATGCCGAGGGTTGCGAACGCGGGCCGGCAGAAAATTTCCGCGGACCTGATACTCGGCGGCGAGCATCGCGAAATATACTTCGTCGCGGTCCCGCGCAGATAAATAGACATCGCGAAGTAATTATAGAGCTTATCCGAAGGAGGCCGAACGTAACCGCGAATAGTGTTACACGGTCGACGTAGCATTGCCGAACGAACAATGTCTTATCCGGCCGGCTCGTATGGACTTCGGCTTCCATACGTCGGAGCTCGAAACGGCTCGCGATTTTAAATTTCGGCTTATCGGACGATACGCTAACTTCTTCGGCGGCTTCGTCGCGAACGCTATCACATAATACGTTACGTGACGTACTACCTCGTTCGCTCGAAATTGGAAGCATCACCGTCGCGGTACAATAAGCTTAGTCGCGAAGGATTCTTGCTTCGATCGCAATTTCGCGAGCGTACAGGTGCCGCGTTTACGAGACAAAGAATTCCTTTATATCGATAATAATAGACGGGACTATTTATACGTGAGAAAAGAATCTGTCGGAGTC